TATACCTAAACAGTATCTGGGCTGTGCTTTGGGACCTTTTAAAATTTTCTTGGAATTTGCGAAAGGAGATCTACTGGTACTATTCCACTACAAAAAACTAACTTACAAACATGAACATATACACGGTTACTGCATATAGTTTATAATATAATATTAAAATATAATATAAAATTGTAATGCAATAAGATAATATCAATAATAATATTATTATTATTATCTATATACTACATATATATCATAGTATGTTTTATTCCATTATATTTATATACATAGATATATACACACGGCAAACACATATACAAGTCTCGGGATTCGGTCAGACATATATAGATATATGTACATACACATGCAAACATATAATATAATATAATATATATATATATATATTTATATATATAATCATATAAATATATAATCATATAAATAAATATATAATCATATAAATATATAATCATATAAATATATAAATGTATAAATATATAAATATATACATATATAAATATATAAATACATATATATATATACATTAAATATAAATATATAAATATGTATATATATATATACATGTATAAATACATTAATATATTAATATATTAGTACATAAATATATGAATATATGAATATATAACTATAAATACATAAATAAATACATAAATATATATATATATATGTAGATACACATCTACATATATTCTCTCTCTCTCTCTCTCTCTCCCTCTACCTTTCCCTCCTCTCTCTCTCTCTCTCTCTCACTCGCGCTCTTTGTCTGCATTACTATCTGCGCCGGCGCCGGCTTCCCGTGGTGCAGGCCTGGGAGGGTTTAAGTTAACACTTGGTTGAGGGTTTGTGGTTTGGTGCTCAGAGACACATAGTACAGGTTCTAAACTGATTGAATTGTTATCAGGGTACAGGGTTTAGCTTACGGCCGGGAAAGACTAGGATCTAGCTTGGGGGGATTAGGGTCGTTTGGGGTACTTGGGAAGGAATAGAGCTCCGGGCACTGCAAAAGTGCTCCTGACCTTCCAGGCACTGCAGAAGTGCCTCAGGTTTCAGCACTGCAGAAGTGCTGGACCTGCTTTTCCCCCCTCCCCTACCCGGAAAGACTAGGATCTAGTTTGGGGAGATTAGGGTCGTTTGGTGTACTTGGGAAGGTATTGTTAGAGCACTGCAAAAGTGCCCCTGACCTCCCAGGCACTTCTGCAGTGCTGAAACCCACCCCCCTTCCCCCCCCCTCCCCCCCCCCCCCTTCCCCCAACCCTTCCCCCCAACCTCCCACAACCCCCCCCCCCCCCACCCCGCCCTTTGACCCCCCCCCCCCCCACACCGAATCCGGGGCCCGGATCCGGGGCCGGGACCCGGATCCTGGACCCGGATCCGGGACCCGGATCCGGGACCCGGATCCGGGACCCGGGTCCCTGAATCTGGTTGAAACGATTAATTATAATTATTATTATTATTATTATTATTATTATTATTATCATTATTAATAGTATTTAAAATAATAAAAATAGGCAGCAAATAAATACCTAAGTATTTTATCTTTTGTTGTTTAGTAAATGCATAAGCAAATCGATGTATCTTTCTTGTTGTCATTGTACTCAAGTGTGAAAAATTAAAACATAGAGCTGTGTATATCAACTTTGCTTCTTATTACATGTTTTCCTGGAACCCGGATCCGGGCCCCGGATCCGTGACTGCAGCAAAAGTAACAGTATAAAATGATTGCACTCTGTTATTACACTAACCATAGACATGTTTGATCATCGTGCAAGGCAAGGGCACAAGTCGTTGCAGTAACAAACATCCTTCCAAATCGCGTTTCAGGGTGCGGAGTGGTGCGTGGGGAAGGTGGGGGGAGGTGGAGGTTGTTACGAGATAATGGTAGACGTGAAGAATTGATCTACTGAGCTAGGGCCCATGGGTCATCATGCTGATGTTCGGGCGGGACGGGGGAGGGGGGGGGTTGGTGGACGTGGTCTGTCTTGGAGGCACTGCAGAAGTGCCTTAAGTTGTGGGCGCTGCAGAAGTGCCCCTAAACCACGAAACCCTTAACCCAGATACACGCGGCATCCCTAAACCGAAGTTGGACCAATAACTACTACGCTACTAGGCCCGCTAGGCCAGCCGATTGGTAACCTAAATTGACACAATCTAAACCCTAAACCCATAAACCCATAAAGCAAATCTAAACCCTCAGGGTAGGGCCCTAGTCTGTTCAGGATCCTATTACGAACCCCCATGTCCCAAATACTATGCCGGGGAGCCCAGAGTGAGACCGCAACCCGAACATCCAGACCAAACCCTGAAACTTCAAGCAACCCCAACCAGCCGTGCGAAAACTTCCCAAAGCCCAACCATGGAATCCCTCAAGCCATTAGCTCTACAGAGGGAAAGATGCACCAAGCAACCCCTTAAGACCCTGTTATAAACACTACGAAAATCCACCCTGCTATGCCCCAAACGCAGCTGGCCCCACGGTGTTAGGGTTTCTGTAGGTCTTAGGGTATACTCCATGCATGTAGGGTGTACAAGGAGACATAAGGGGAAAATAACGATAGGGTACATGGGGGAGAAAGGTTTTAGGGGTTTAGGCCTGAATAGGGGCCCCCTCAGACTCCTTCGGACTCATGTGAAGGCACTGCACAAGTGCCTACTCCCTAAACCTTAAGCTGGCGTACGATACCCGACAGGCTTCCCACCGGCCTCGCCACGGCTGCTGCGCGTCTGCCATCCGGAGATGTCTGTCAGAACCTTGGGCCACTGTTGCGTTAGACTGGCTGGAGCGTAGTTGCCTGCTTGACGCATGCCGTGCAGCAGCAGCAGCAGCAGCAGCATCATCTGCTGGGCTTGAACTTGCAACATTGCATGAACCGCCCTGTCTCGGCTCGAGATTCAAATTGGGAAAAGTGGGCCTGAGCCCACCGCAACCCATCGAAGGTTGCGTAGCAAAAGAATGCTCCCACCCATACTATCCAATTCTCAAACTCCCTAAAGAACTACACCTAAAAACCCCCTGTCCGTTTTACCATATACCAGTCCGGTATACCGGCAGTGTAGTTTAAGAGTCCAAAGTGCTCATTCGACACTACCTTTGTATGCGCAGCACTTCCCATGCAAACCAGCCAGACCAGGAATTAACAACCTAGTCACACTTTCACCGTCACATACTGTCACTGAATCTAGAATCAAGAATCCCTGCTGTGGATGGTGTAGTCTGGAGACATGATACCGCAGCGTGGTGGCGGCCTTTCAAATCGTGGCCGGGCAGACCGTGGCCGTGCAGATCGTGGCGGTGGCCGGGGAGGTGGGCAATCTGGTGTGGGAGGAGCGGCTGTGCGAGGAGCGGCTGAGGTCCTGCATTGTGCACAAGAAAGATAATAATAGTTATGAAATGCAAGCCTTGTCATCCTTCAGGAGACCAGAGTTCCGGGAGTGGCAACGCCGAGCAGGGGGCAGGGAGGCACAGATCCAGGAGCCCACGCAACCGCAAGCACATGACATGGTTAAGATTGGTCAAGTCATGTTAAGTGTTTTAATGCTCAATTGTCAGTGAAGACTGCAGGAGCTCAGCTCACGGCCCATCCCGCGAAGTGCGGGTGGCCAACCGCCAAGGAACAATGGATCGCCAGGCTACCCTCATCGACAACCAGCAAGCTACTGGGCTGGGAAGCATCATCATCTTGATTTAGGGTTTTCTTATGGGTTTAGGGTATCGGGGTTTAGGGTTGCTGCTGATCGCTGCCAGCGTCCGATCAATATCCAAGGAGCTCATTAACCACTGGAAGGGCGTCGCTGAGCAGAAGACAGCTGAGGCGCAGAAGCTGAACGAGGAGCTGGCCGGCGCGCGGGGAGAGCTCGAGAAGGTGCGCCAGGACAAGTTCGCCAGCGAGAACAAGCTCCGGGAGGAGATTGACAAGACAGAGGAGCGGGGGGAGAAGCTCTTCATTGAGGCGACCCAGAAGATGAGGAAGAAGATCGAGACGGAGATGCGGGAGGCGCACGAAGCCGAGGTGCGGTCGCTCAAGGGGGAGCTGGACAAGCTGAAGGAGAATGCGGAGACTGGCAGGCATGTTCGAGACAAGCTCCGGGATGAAAAAGACCGCTGCGAGACCTCCGCGAAGCAGGCTCAGGACGGATTCGTACATGACATGCGTACATGGATGAGTGCGTCATGATGGAGTCTTAATCCTTGAAATGTAAGTCTCTTTCTTTGACAGGAGGAAACCCAGCGCTGGCGTGAGCGTTACGGGAAGTTGATTGCATCTCTTCCTCCGGAGATGCGACCCAGGGATGTTTGAGTGCCAGCTTGAGATGATCATTGTCATGGGTCATGGATAGCAACTCCAAAGCCCTGGGCCGGAATCCATAAGTTTACATCTGCCAACTCTGGGAAGACAAGATCTCAAGCTTGCCAGAATCCGGCCGGGAAGTCTTCCGTTCATGTTTCACACTCTACAGCTGCAGTGGGCCGCAAGAAGGGCTGTAGAAATACACCCGTCTAGGGTTACCTCGGTTGAATTAACACATTACTTGGGGGGTTACATTGCCTGGCCATGCCTACTACTTCATTCAAATTCAGTTCGTTGCTTTGAACAGTTGGCCTGGGCTGTAGGTTGCAGAGTTGGCTCTGCGGCTGAGAGTGTGAGATGCAAAAAAACAGTGCGTGCAGTGCGTCAGTGCGTGCAGTGCGTGCATCATGAAGGCATTAGGCAGCAAGTGGACCTGAATCTAGCCTGGCCCAGGCATGGCCTGCTGCCGGAGCTGGCCGCGGGAGCCCCAGCGTCTTTCAGGGCTCCATGCTGGGGGGCGTGCTGCCTTGGGGTTGAAACAGCTCAGGGTCGGTGGATTTTTCTTGATGTAGCTGAGCTGGCTTAGAGGTTCAGGGTCGGGTTATCATTCTCTGGTGGGTTCCAGGTTGAAACGAGAACATAGACGACCAAATGCAGCAATTTTTGTTGCGAGCTTTTCGTTTCGACCCTTTTATCAGCTCGCGATCTCCCATGGCTCCTGCCGCAGACTTGCGACTCCGCCTGTTCAACATCGAGGCATTTCTGGCCAATTTACAGGGGGAGTTGGCGGAGATGTTGGACGAGTTTCGCAGCGAAAGCCGGAAAGTCAAGATTGACCTTCATGAAGCCTTCCACAAACTGGAACCACGCTACGAAGACCTCCACGGCATTGCTCATGAGACTGCAAGGCTATGCTTGATGCGATGCTGCTCAACCTACGTGGTTGCGGGAGGACCCTTAAGCAACCCAGATCTGGCCCACAGGGCAATAGAATGCCTGACGATCCTCACCCGGTTTCCACACGTGCTTGATGACTACGGGTCCGAGTCGACGATATCAATCACGAGCCAAAGGGCATGGATGTGCAGGGCCCTTCACGACTGGTGTGCCTCCGCAACAAAGCTGTACAATTGCCACTACAACCAGTACGTGCAGATTGTGCAGACCCCGTTTCCGCTGCCGCCTGACACTGAGGACCACTGAGTGTCACAGTCGCTGGCACTCGAATAGCGTGCGATGTGCATGCCGGAATGCTGTCTAAAGCTGCAAAGCAGAAAGTGACAGGACTGTCAGGTAACGGTAGTGACCGGGCACTGAACGGGGGAATCGACATATGTCTAAATCTGAAGCATGATCATAATTAACTTAACAAGTGTGCGTCAGCGGCCTTGGCTTACGGCGACATGTACAGATTTGCTGGAGGACTCGCCGAAATTTCGTCTGATATGTACGATGAGTGCTTCCCTCTCCCTCTCTCCCTCTCTCCCTCTCTCCCCTCTCTCCCTCTCTCCCTCTCTCCCTCTCTCCCTCTCTCCCTCTCTCCCTCTCTCCCTCTCTCCCTCTCTCTCTCTCCCTCTCTCCCTCTCTCCCTCTCTCCCTCTCTCCCACTTTGCCACCAGGGAAGAGAGACTTTGGGCCGTGAATCAAAAACTTTGAAGCCACGCGTGCTGCACACATGTGTGAGACCGCCCCAAGACTAAGTTCAAGTTGATTGCGATATTGAGGCATGCTCAGGAGCGATGTTAACAAAAGAATGCATCAGTCACCAAGACTAGCTTGGCTTCAAGATCTCAAGCCGGCCGGGAAGTCTTCCGTTCATGTCTCACACCATGCAGCTGCAGTGGGCCGCAGGAAGGGCTGTGCAAACACACCCGTCTAGGGTTACCTCGGTTGAATTTACACATTACTTGGGGGGTTACATTGCCTGGCCATGTCCTACTTCATTCAAATTCAGTTCCTACTTAAAGAACGCATGCTGGCCTGCGCTGTAGGTTGTAGGGTTGGCTCTGCGGCTGAGAGTGTGAGATGCAAAAAAACAGTGCGCGCAGTGCGTCAGTGCGTGTAGTGTGTGCATCAGGAATAATTTCAGTTGGCAGCAAGTGGACCTGAATCTAGCCTGGCCCAGGCATGGCCTGCTGCCGGAGCTGGCCGCGGGAGCGCCAGCGTCTTTTAGGTCTCTATGCTGGGGGGGCGTGCTGCCTTGGGGTTGAACAGCTCAGGGTGGGTGGATTTTTGTTGATGTAGCTGCTCAGCTGGCTTAGAGGTTCAGGGTCGGGTTACTCCGCGCTTTTCTTGAATGTGTTTTGAGTTATAATAAAAGAGGGTCTTTTAAATTGTTGCATGTGTGCATTGATAGAGCAAGAATAGTCTCAAACAGTATCCATCAGCCTAGAGTTTTTATGTTTATTTCAAGTTCTGGCCGAAGGGCGCAGGTACTTGGCCTAGGGGAAGACGTGCAGCGGACGGTTGTTTCAGGTCTTGTCTCGGATGGCAATTTGTGGGTAGATATGAGGCAGGCACTGAAGAAGTGCCTCTGGATGACTAGTAGGCACTGAAGAAGTGCCTCATTCCCTGGCCAAACGCTAGACCCCCCCCAAAACCACCCTGAGCCAGGTTTCCCACTGGCGGCGCCGTTTCTGCTCCAACACAGGTCGCCGAGGACTGAATGGGCCCTAAACCCTAAACCCTCAACCCTAAACCCTAAACCCTACACCCTACACTTTGAGCACTGAAATGATCAGAAAACGCAGGTTTGTCAACCACACAAACAAGCCAGGGAACTTCATCATAGAACACACATCAAAATTTAGTTGACTCTGACAAGCCTGAGCCAAGCAACGCCAACCGACAATTCAAGCCTAGAGAACCCCATTTACTAATTTAGTAGGTTAGCACAAAGCTCTGTGTCATGCAGCCCTGAGTGCTCAGTGGCCAACAAGTTTCCAAGACCCGGCCACCCCGGCCTAGGGTTGCATCATTTTCAGGCTTGGTGCAAGATTTCCTCCATCCACCGTATGTAGGGTGCCTGGGCTCCGTTTGTAAGTAACCCTTAACCCGAAATCCTAAACCCTAAGCCCTAAACCCCAGACCCTAAACCGTACAAGGTGCTATCATGCCCCCCAGGCCAGGCAAGGCAGCCCTGAATAAATGCAGTAATTAGGCAAGGCAGCTACTGCTAGCTACTAACTCAGCTCTCAACGCGAAAGTGCGCCCCATAAAACCTGCGTGCGGAGCGGGTGTGGGCGCCATGTTGCTGCTCCTTGCACTCCTCATCGGCGCAAAGGCTGTGCAGGATGGAGGCGGCGATGGCGGAGACGGCGATGGCGATGACGGCGACTCCGCCAAATTAGAAGCCATTGTCATGATGTTGTCTAGACCCCTGAGGTAGGGCATTATTACAACAAAGCAGCCAATCCCTCAGGTAGGGCATACTCAGAGCTAAGGTGACTGGTGGCAAGACGGAGGATGGGGTCGCCAAAATCACCAGCCAGGGCAAGATGGAGCGGCGTGGGATGGGTGGGGCCCGGGATGGCAGCAAGGGTGGCACCAGCAAGGAATGTGGGGTCAGGGATGGGGGTGGCAAGGCCATCCAGGCTGGCAGGGGTGGCAGGGGTGGCAGGGCCCCCACCCGTACCCTTATCAAGGCGGCTGCCAGGGATGGTGGGGCGGCTGGCAGGGTGGCTGGCAGGGCTGCCCGGCCGGCTGGCAGGGTGGCTGGCAAAGCGCCTGCGGCAACGCCGCCACAGGGAGGTCATGCAGCTGCTGGACAGTGGGATCAGGGAGGACAAAGCCAGCAGCAGGATGGACAGTGGGGGGGAAGCTGGAACCAGGGAGGACAGAGCAATCAGGGAGGAGACTGCCAGCCAGCGGGGGGGGGAGGAGAGGAAGGCAAAAAAAAACCGTGGGAGGGGCCTGCGAAGGATCAGGGTGGCCGCACGTACCAGCAATGGCAGAGGTGGTCGGCGGGAGGACAGGGCCCCGACCGAAGAACGCGGCTGGACAAGAAGTGGCAGGACTGGTCTGCGCATGAGCGGACGCAGCGCGGCACTCGAGGTGCGGGAGACAGACAGAGAGAGAGAGAGAGAGAGAGAGAGAGAGAGAGAGAGAGAGAGAGAGAGAGAGAGAGAGAGAGAGAGAGAGAGAGAGAGAGAGAGAGAAACAAACACAAACACCGCACGAACTAAGCTTAAATCCTGGACTCTACTCATGCCTCAACCCTTACGACAGGTCGGTCTGTGCCAGCGTCTTCTTCGCGAGATGGGGGGCCATACGATGGGGTCTTGCAGGCCGAGTACGCCAGGAAGAAGGCCGACGAGGAGAAGAAGAAGGCGGAGGCCGCGAAGAAGGCAGAGGAGGAGAAGCTGAAGGCCGAGGCCGCGAAGAAGGCGGAGGAGGACAAGAAGAAGGCGGAGGCCGAGGCCGCGAAGAAGGCCGAGGAGGACCAGAAGAAGGCGGAGGCCGCGGCCGCGAAGAAGGCGGAGGAGGACAAGAAGAAGGCGGAGGCCGAGGCCGCGAAGAAGGGGAGGAGGACCAGAAGGGCGGAGGGCGGCCGCGAAGAAGGCGGAGAGGACAAGAAGGGAGGGCGGAGGCCGAGGCCGCGAAGGCGGTGGAGGACAAGGAGCAGGCGGAGGCAGCCACGGGAAAAACAAGATGGATAGAAGGCGGAGACTGCGGCCGAGACCCAGAAGGCCGCAGTCTCTGAGTAGACCGACGCCGCGCAGCATGAAGAAGGAAAAGTCGGGGGTGCGCAGGGGTAAACCTCACACCTTAAACCCTCCAATCCCCAAACCCATTTAAACTTGAACCTGACAGGCAGGGTTATATGATGTGATGCAGACTTAAATTTGCAGTAATTTCTGTGGAGTGATGTCTTGCTTTTGTGGGGCGCAGGAGCTTGTAGCCTCACGCCTTAAACCCTCCTCTCAGTCCAAAACGCTATAGATGTGCTCCTAACTCCAAACCTTTGTCTTCTTCCGCCTCAAACCTGACACCTCATTATAAGCCTATATTCTCAGCCCAATTCTTCGGGAACCACCCAAAGCCTGTGCGGCCTTTCGCTTCCAGACCTTGGTGACCTCCTCCGAAACCCATGCAACTTCTGACGGGAGGACGGGCCCCGGTGGCAGCGGCCTTCCAAGCCAGGCATGGTCCCTAACCGTTTACCTTGCCCAGACATATAATAAGAAGGGGGAGACATATGCCTGCGAATATGAGTAATGACACATATGAATGATCAGGTTTACTTATTCATAAGAGCATACATTATATGTATATGCATACATACATGCATACATACATACATACATACATTCTTTATTGTAAGGGCTTTACCTCAACGATGAAAAAAACTATAAAGTAAATGCGAGGCGAACTTTAAGCCTTTCATTCTAAGGTAGAATACTGAATGTAGCTTTACCTTCAGCATTTCTTCACTTAGAGGCGAGAAATTCATTCTTCTTGGTGGTTTTGCACAGTGACCTGACATCTCTCAGGCCACGGCCCGGGTTGTGCTTTGTGCCGGAGCCCAAGCCAACTCAGCATGTTTCACTGTCTCCCTGCGCCTGGCCATGCAACATGTTTCAGTTCTCGGCCTTCCTTGAATGGGTCAAGCAGTAGTACACTACAATTTCTCTCTGTGCTCCATTCCAAGCAGCGCATTTGCATGTTACACTGCTTCACCTTTCTTCTTACTTGTGCCCAGATAGTTGCATCAGATCTATCTTGCCAGTCCATGCACAGTTTTACTACTACACTGAGAAAGGCTTGCCGCCATAGTTTCACGTTCGTGCTCCGGTTGTCTCCCTCGCATTCTCCTCGCTGTGCTCCAGGGCTTCATCGGCAAATGACAAAGGCTGCCACTGTGAAGCGGGAACTGCCAGCTTCCAAGGCTGCCATGGTGAAACGGGAGGTGCCAGCTTCGAAGGGGAAGACTGAGCAGGCATTCCAGTTGGTGGTGGCGTCCAGGGAGAAGGAAGTGCAGAAGCTCCTCATCATTGACGTCGAGGCGGAGGCCAAGAGGGCGGCCAGAAGGCGTTACGAGACCAACCGCAAAAACAAACACAGGACTCGGCTGGATGCGACTCAAGTGGCTGCATTGCAGGCCAAGTTGGCAGAGCTGGAAGCAGAGAAACTCCAGCTGTACTCTCAGATCGACGTTCTCAGCACCGAGTTGGTTGAGGCCAATGGTAGGCTTGCAGAGGCAGACCGAAGGGTGGCGGCAGCAGACCGTAGGGTTGCAGAAGTGGAATCCTACGTGCCCAAAACCCCGCCAAGACAAAGTCGCAAACGTTAGTTGGCCACATGGCACGGGGAGTACGATCTGCCTTCGTGGGGAGGGGGAAGGCGGGGGGCAGGGGTTGACTGTAAGCAATTTGCCTTGCAGACACACAGGAACCGAATAGCGTTCCTCTTCTGTCAGCTGCGATGGGGTCGCGACAAAAGCGCTTTGCGTGTCAGGGAGCAGCATCATTGTCCATGCAAGAAATGCAGCACCAATGGGCTATGACTTGTCAAACTAGTTTGGTGCCTAACCCAGGACACAGTAGGTGTTGGATCCCTGTGAATCTCAACCCTTGCAAACTAGTGTGTATTCAGGGTGCTGTGCAAGTCAAGCTCCAGGTCCAGCCTTTCGACCTACAACATGCTGCTGCAAGGGTCCCGGACTGGGGCAGTTGAGGGTCTAGGTTTGGGGTTCACATTTCAGGGTTTCACTTCGACGACAGCCATGCCTCATCGGGAATGTGACCAAGCGCTGAAGAAGTGCGAGCCAGCACTGAGGAAGTGCTTATTTTATGCTTGCGGCACTGAAGAAGTGCCGCAAGCTGTTTTTTTGCCTGAGGGTTGAGGTTTACGACTTGTAGAGACTCAGGCCTTGAAGCCTAGTAAGAAACTACTATCCAACTAGCAGATAGAGGGATGTTTCGCATTTGGGGTCTTGTGTTCAAGTGGTGTTGCCGAGTTGCAGTGTGAGAGAGCTGGGTTCTGCAGCTTGCCAAGGCCTTCCACTGGCGCTGCAGTGTCCGTTGCCGAGTGATTGAGCATTGACAGCACATGCAGCAGCATTTGTCAATTGTTGAGGGAGACACAAATCTATAAAGCTGTCTCTTTTTGCAGCTCCGCTTTTGGCCTTGCATTGGGGACCCACTCAGAAGAAGATTTCTAGCTGTAGCTCCTGCCACCATGACCGCGTTGGTGGGCTACTTCGTATCTTCCCCTGCTTACTTTGCCTTTGAGAGCTCTGAGAGCACCACGCAGTACTACACGACTATCACGGAAGCTGTGGCGCGTTGCAACAAGTGGTGTGCACGAAAGCAGCTTGGAGGATAATGGTATCCAGTGTCAAAGAATTTATTACTTGTACACATAGAACCATCGCCCATCATGTTCCACATGTCCTTTCACTCGTGATACTAGAGTCTGCAAGTACCAAGGGCAAAGGGCCACATCTCCGATCCCAGTGTGCATGAAGGGCAGCGACCAAAGAAGCGCAATGTGTCGGACATATTCATGGCCGGGGAGATCCTCACACAGCGCGCGTGGCACGTCCAGCAGTGCATTGTCGTCGACCAGCAAAAGGCAATGGCACAGAAAGCTCTCCTCCCCACTGCCACCGGGTTCATCGTGTACGGGATGAAGCCACAGAAGAAGGACAGCGACATGTTCCTGTTCCACGACTACCAGTGCCACATGTCCGTCAGGGAGGAGAAATGCTCAGAGGGAAGCAGCGGGGACTCTGATCGTCGCGATGGGGAGGACCCAAAGGCCTTGACCAACTCGCCAGCCAGCGAGTCTGCTGGGGAGCCGGCTGGGGGGTCCAGCACAACGCCTGGGGGGCAGGTCGCTCTGCCGGAGAACGCTGCTCCAGGCATCGGATCATGCACGTATGTAGGTGATGCGCGGGTAAGTAAGGCTACCTTTGAGCTTGTGCGCCATGAGGCATGTGGAAGTTCAATCGCTTGCTGCCGCCCAGTCTGCACGCCAAGTGCGTGGGGGTCGTGGAGCAGAACCTCTGCAAGAGGAAAATGGACCTGTGCAAGGATCCCAGCAGGGTCCTGTTTTTGGCACCACAGACTCTGGGCCATATGGCCTTCACGCTCATGAAAGGGGGGATGACTGAGTTCCCAAGCTGCAAGGTGTTCATCTCACGGGGTATTTGTTGAGGCTTTGCAATCCTGTGCAGTCTGCGAGCAAGTCAGGTTTTCCTTGGAGGAGGTTCAGTTTCGGTCTGCGGACGCTGCGGATTTCTTGTTGGTGGACAGCGACATCTCCCCTTTGGCCGCAGCTTGCTCGCAAGTCGGTTTTCGCGCTTGTGTCACACTCGTGCGGCGCGCGTTCGCGCTCGCTGGTGGGCGTATGTGAGCGTGTGAGGGTCCGTGCGAGTCTCTCTCTCTCTCTCCCTTTCTCTGTCTCTCTCTCTCTCTCTCTCTCTCTCTCTCTCTCTGTCTCTCTCTCTCTCTCTTTCTCTCTCGCTCTCTCTGTCTCTCTCTCTCTCTCTCTCTCTCTCTCTCTCTCTCCCTTTCTCTGTCTCTCTCTCTCTCTCTCTCTCTCTCTCTCTCTCTGTCTCTCTCTCTCTCTCTTTCTCTCTCGCTCTCTCTGTCTCTCTCTCTCTCTCTCTCTCTCTCTGTCTCTGTCTCTCTGACTATCTTTTTTTCTATTGCGCGTGGGTGTTTGTGCTTGTGTCTAGTTGTGTTTGTGTTTCGGTTTGCGTTTACGTTTGTGTGTGTGTGTGTGGCTGCGTGCAGATGTTTGCATTTGTTCGTGTCTGTGTGTGTGTGTGTGTCTGTGTGTGTGTGTGTGCGTGTGTGTCTGTGTCTGTGTCTGTGTTTCTGTTTGTGTTTGTGTTCGTGTTTGTGTCTGTGTCTGTGTTTGTGTTTGTGTTTGTGTTTGTGTTCGTGTTTGTGTTTGTGTTTGTGTTTTTGTGTTTGTGTTTGTGTGTGTGTGTGTGTGTTTGTGTGTGTGTTTGTGTGTGTGTGTGTGTGCGTGTGTGTGCGTGTGTGTGTGTGTGTGTGTCTGTGTTTGTGTTTGTGTTCGTGTTCGTGTCTGTGTCTGTGTCTGTGTTTGTGTTTGTGTTTGTGTTTGTGTTGGTGTTGGTGTTTGTGTTTGTGTTTGTGTTTGTGTTTGTGTTTGTGTTTGTGTGTGTGTTTGTGTGTGTGTGTGTGCGTGTGTGCGTGTGTGTGTGTGTGTGTGTGTGTCTGTCTGTGTGTCTGTGTGTGTGTGTGTGTTTGTGTGTGTGTCTCTGTGTGTGTGTGTGTGTGTGTTTGTGTGTGTGTGTGTGTCTGTGTGTGTGTGTGTGTGTCTGTGTGTCTGTGTGTGTGTGTGTGTGTCTGTGTCTCTGTGGTGTGGTTGCGCTCACCTGTCCTTTTCTGAGTCTGTGTTCTTGTAATCCAGGAGTTCATGCTTGCACCAACACAGCGATGTCAGTCTTCGGGGAGAACCGTCAAGACTCTGCGCTTCGAGATTAAGGGGAAGGTGGACCCGGACGTCCTGCGTGCCAAGAAGCAGAAGCTCTCGGAAGCATTGCAGCACTTGAGCAACAGCGCTGGTGCAGGAGAGGCAGACTGAGCGCCTATGCCGGTGGGAGGGGGTGCCTGTGGGGTCTAAGCTGGAGTCAACTCTGTCATGGAGACTTGTTGCAGGGAGTCAGACAGCTGGCCAGAGGAACAGTCCTCCCAAGCTTTCTTTTTTGAACTGGCCAGAGGCCACAGCACAGTAGCGCTTGCCAGAAGATCTACTTTCGACACGCATCACGCCGCTTCTAGCTGCTGAAACGAGTGCCAAATGACAGTCCTGCGACACTACCTCTCTGCGTGATCGTGTTCTGTGTACATCTGAACATGTTATTGCTCAGGTCACCTGTGCCCGGCGTGGCGTGCAGGAGCCACGCTTCCGACGGCCGTCGCAGAGGCTGGCTGGCAGCCTGGGACGCTCCCTGAAATTACCTCGGCGTATTTTGCAATTCTGGCGGGTAGTCTTACTCAGGGGGTTTCGCCCAATTACATGCGTAATGGTGTCCATGGTGGCTGAGCTAGCTGGGGCGTGTGTCTTCTCAGGATTACCCCACAGTCTCGCGCAAGACCCTGGGGTAATTTGCGGCTGGGCCAGGGGCAAAATTACCTTGCTTGGTCGACAGGACCGCGCGGCTCGAGCTGGCAGCAGAAAACGAAGTGGATATGTCTGACCAACAGCGTCGGCGTTTTGGCATCCTCCGGAGTGCTGTCCTGCGAGCCCGCAAGACATGGCTGGAGAAGAGCGAGCTGCCAGGACACACGTGGCCGGAAGGCCGTGTCTTTACATGTGCCACCGACTGCAGTGGCCTGGAGGCGCCACTCTTTGGGATGAAGCTCCTGGGATTGCAGTTCCGGCAATGGTGGGGAAGTGACATCGATGAGAACGCTCGTCGCTGGATACGTGCGCAAGGGATGTGCCCGCTGCTTTTCCACAATGCCATCGAACGACGCTTGCCAGAGCATGTGGAGCCATGTTGCTTGGACGGCTACTGGCTGGGCTTTCCCTGCCAGCCCTTCAGCGCTGCTTCAGTTCGTGCACGAGGATTCCAGGACAAAAGAACAGAAGTTCTCAGGGCTGGCCTCCGAGCCATGATGCACGCCCGGCCATTCTGGGCAGTGCTGGAGAACGTAAAGGGAATTGTCCGTGCCCGACACCAAAAGGGATTCAAGAAGATGCTCACGCAGGAAGGGATCACAGATCACTATGCAGTTGCCATCGCCAGGATTTGCCCGCACGCGAACCTGCGGGAGCCCATACGAAGACCTCGAGTTTTCTTTCTGTGCACTCGAAAAGACTGTGCTCTCACGGACGACCAGAATCTTGTGAAGGAGCTGCTTCAGAACGTGTGTGCTGAAGTGCAGGGGTCTTTGCCACCTGCTGAGTTGGAGGACTACTTGCGGGAGGTGGTCAAAAAGGAGGATGTCGGGAGGGAGAACAAGGGCAAGCAGGGGGCTCCAACTGAGAAGAAATGGGTGGAGCAGCATGGGCAGGTTCGCGAACAATTGGGCCTTCCATATCTTTCTGACATGACGGAGCTTTCGCGCAAGGCAAACCACCTTCCTGGCCTCACACTGCGGCAGCAAAGCCTGGTGGAGATCAAGACACACGGTCTCCAGAAGCACGACTATCCGGTCATCCTCGATGTCTCTCAGTCCTTGGGGCGTGCACCAATGCTGTCTGGAGTGTGCCCTTGCCTGACAAGAGGAGCGCAGCCTGTCATGATTTCTGGGGATGGTCGCGGTCGCCTTCTCAGCAGCCACGAATGCTTGGCGCTCATGGGCTTCC